GATGAGAAATCTACTACGAGTATTGGAACATCAAAAGATCTTTCTCCGGAAGACAAACTTATTCATCTTAAAACTCTTGTAGCTCCCAAACTGCGAAAGTATTCTTCATGGCTCTTGATCGTGGATAACGTCACAGACGTTAAATCAGTCTTCAGATTCTTGCCAAAGGCGAGAGAGAAGACGGAAGGCAATGGTCAGATACTTTTTACCACACAAGACAGTCGATCTATTGGTGCCAATAATTCGTACACTTACCATTTATCCCTTAGTCGCGGTATGAAACCTGATGAAGCGGTAAAAATACTTTTTGAAATATCGGGCGTTGCTTCAAATAAAGAATGCATTTTACGAGTTGCGAAGGCTTTAGATTTCCAGCCACTAGCACTAGCGTGTGCAGCAACTTACATGAAGCGTGTAAGTGATAAAACCTCAATCTCATGGGAAGAATATTTACAGAAGATTCAACAAGGCAAGCGAGAAGCGACTGAAGGAGAGTATAAAAGAATTAGCGTAACTTACTCTCAATCAATGACTGCAGCAGTCAAGTTGGCCTTAGAAAAAGAAATGGCTGCAGACATGGTTATGATGCATGCTTTTCAGTTCTTGTCTGCGTTGGGCCCTGAGCGGATACCCTGGGAATATGTCGTAGAATATGTAACACGGTGCATGACAGATCAAGACGAAGGAGTCGTGGCCGCCACTGTCTTTTCATCTTCACTTATTCTTAATTATTCCGAAGGCCAGTCAAAAGAGATTGGTATACATCAAGTTGYACATAGCTGTCTACAAGATATTGTTCTACACAAGAGCAAAAAAGAAGAATTTCATTTCTTGGTAAACGTAATTAATGCTTTTTCAGCACTCTTAAAAGCCTTTGATGAGAACAACGTCAATCACATTACAACAACAAAATTGGTAGCAGTGCATTTTATGCACTTCTCAAAACATTTAACCAATTTTACAACGGAATCTTTATCTCCAATAAAACAGAAAACAAATTTTGAACAAAAACAAAACGAGTACGTAAGCTACTTCTCGGCCGCTGGAGACGTCTGCCAAACCCACGCTAAGCATGAAGCTGCGAAAACATTGTTTAAAACAGTACTAATGATCAAAGAATTTTATCATCATTGCAATCATCCAACACTTGCTCCTACATTGACTAAAATTGGATTGACCCTCTTTAGTTTGGGCAAGCATGAAGAAGCACAGGAACTTCTCGAAAGAGCATTGACTATTGCTGAGAAGTCGTTCGGTCAAAATCATTTAAAACTTGCTACTACATTGAATAATCTAGGATCGAACCTCATTCATCTGGGCAAGAATGAAGAAGCGCAACTATGTCTCGAAAGAGCATTGACTATTCAAGAGATGGCGTATGATCAAAATCATCCAACACTTGCTACTACATTGAATAATCTAGGATCGAACCTCATTCATCTGGGCAAGCATGAAGAAGCGCA